TTGTTAAGAACCAGTTCTTAAGTCAAGCCTATTTTTGTATGTTAGCATCCGCTTTTTAACAGTGATAAACAGTGCCAATACCACTCAACACGTGTAGGACAAGGTAACATTTTAACTGTTACACTTACAAATTCCATTCACATATGTATGCCTGTATGGACCAATGGATTATAAGTGACACTGGGCGGTGGGACAGCCTTGTGGACACGAAATTGTGCAGAACTATGGATTGAGAAATAACTAAATTTTACATTGTCGTATTAGACTGGGATGCAGCAACTTGGACACTGCATTATCTAATCTTTGAAGGACTGTTGTAATATGTATTAGTTTGGGGAGCGACATTAATATAGGGGAAACACAGTTTGTCAATCTCACTGTACACTACTAGTGGTACAAGAATGAATATTGTTTAAACTATACACACACTTGCATACATCTTCAATCGTGTCGCATTGTACTATTTTTCGACCAGACTATTTATATTATGGAATGTGATAACCTAGTATATTCCTTAGCTGCTTCAGTGTTACTTATGTTTAAAAGAAGAAAATTATTATAACATATGATATTACACCATCCAACTTTTACTATGTGTGTATAGGGATATATTTTATGTATGGATTGTTTTATGGATTTTATGTGTCTCGTAGGCCTGTAAAGGCCGGGCAGATGTTTCGTATGTGATACAGAAGATTTGATATATTATGTTAACATCTGCGTGACACAATAATAACTAATCTCTCTCTTAACAAGACCTTTTAGGAAGACTCTGGCTAAGTGAGAGTGAACCATTTCTGAGCATGGTGAGCCATGAACAGTGTTCACCACATGCAAAACAATTTTAATCAATAAGTGTTCACAATTAGTAGCTTCAATTATCAATTTCTTATGCTGTCTCCCACTTAGTGGGATTGTAAATATTTGCATTTGATTAAAATGACATTACATGATTATAAGTTATATATGTATCATTTATTTATCTGTAACTAAATTTATAACACTAATGATCTGCTTAAAATGATAAAAATGTTAAAGAAACATTATGTGACTATAAACTATTATGTTATATATGTATAATTTGTTTATTTTGGATATCTGTAACTTTATATATAACATAAATCGTATATATTTTTGTAAATTTTGTAAAATGAAATGAATTGGCAAAGTGTTGAATCCCCAACTAATCCCCATTGCACCATTAACGTTAATTAATTGCTTGACAATGAAACTGGAAAAGTGGGAGGACACCACATTCTTAAAGTACGACTTTACAAATGCCAATTTCTTGTTGATGCATAGATGGGAGTTTCCATATTTATTCCCACACTGTTATCAATATAAAAGTTACAACAACCAGGTGAATAGAAGTATATATGCATAATGACAACCAGCAAATTAACAGATAATTAGCAAGTAGCACATCGTTGGATGGAGGCAGCAGGAGAGTAAGATCAACAAATTGTAAACAGGCTGATTGGATGGTAATTGAACAGCTGATTGACAGATTCTAGCTGTAAATCAACTTCAGTATGACAAAGTCGAAATCCACTCCACTGACAAAGTGATGGAATCAATCAACATTCAATCAGCTTGTTTATCCTGAACGATGTACATCGAAATGCCGCCCTATTCAATAAACAGGGAGTTGTTATCACTTAAGTGATATGTTTCGTTATGTATTCCCATATTGTTTACTGCAGTATAAGTGAGATCTGATTCAGTTTGCGAATGACCACACTTTTGAAGATTATTTAAGTTCTACTTTAGTAAACTGCATCCTAATAATTTGATTTCAGATTAAAACATCTCATTCCGAATTTGTGTAATCCTATTTCTGGTACTAAGAAATACTGTATTTGTACATATTAGATATAAATCTATCAGTACCAGTTTGATGTGTCTGGTCATGAGTTAACTAACATAATGATTATATATTTATTGTCATTACATGTGTCATTAAGCGTCATTTATGCCATTATAATGTTCTCTGATCCATTTCATCGTACAACATTTATTTCATTCAATGTTTTGAATCTCACATGATGACATGAGAAATGTTACTGTTCCAGTTCAGTTCGTTCTTCAAGTGTTCCAACCAATATCGTCATTATGGTTACAAACGGCCTGATTTTAATACCTATCAACTTAGATGTTATACATGTATATGAGTATATGCACACACATTCACACAAAACATACGTAATTTGTGAATTCTGTTCAGACGAAAAAGAAATATCTAATTTGATAAGAAACACTACATAAAGTATCTTCCCTCACTCTGAGAGAAGCATGGCATTATTCGCTAATTTTTAAATAATTTTATCTGCATAAAAGAAGGGATTATAAAAAATCTGAAACAAACTTCCATATACAACCATTTCACCAACATTGCGACATTGACCATGGAATCATGTTAATTTCAGTCTGATTTTAATGTCATAATTATGCGAGGTTCCTCATTCACACATTCATACAAATTGACAGCTCAACACAAAACAATATGCAACCAACCAAATTCAATACAACACAACTTTCACCGCCTGTGCATACCACACTGTTGATTTTGTATATTTGTATACATGCAATATTGTGTATGCATATGATGTTACATGCAATATTAGTAAAATTAAAAATGTCACCATATTTTCAAATAACTCGTTTTGGTATATTTGCTATTGCTATATGCAATAAACAAAATGTGATAAACTTTACTGTTTACCAACAAGCGCTGCATACTTGCTTTTCTACAACAGACTATAGCTTTAATCCCCATTGTTGTAACGATTAGTACGGTCCAGTAATTTCAATCTCAAAACAGTACGTGCAGGCAAATAGAGAACATCCCGAAGCTTGGAACTTGGCTTGACTTGACTCACTCATGAATTAACAAGGCAGTACGCCTTGTTAATTGGTGAATCTTAACTGCCTTGAATCACTCATCAATTAACAGGGGATTAGGTCTTGGGGCGTGCAAACCACTATCATTTACCATCACCCACCAGTTATCTCTCCTTGTGGACATTTCCAAAATTGGAAATGTTTGGAAACATCATCTTTCCAAAATTGGAAATGTCTTGGAAACATCATCTTTCCAAGACATTTCCAAGCTTGTAAATGTGGACTTTTTTTCCAGTGTTTGTCGTGCAGTATTGTCACTTCGACCCCCCACCTCGCTTCCGTGGAAGAAATTGTTATGTTATAAGTTATAAGTCATGCAAAGTGCTTTTGGTTATGATTCAAATACATATTTAACTACGAGTAGAAAGTAGTTTTGATTTTCTAACTTGATGAAAACAAACCATAATCTCATTAATTCTAACAGACTTTAGCCCGTGACTTCACGATTTTCAAAAATGGCGGTGCCCTGTCGCGAACATCCGCCAGTCTGAGTATAAATGCTATTTAGGTTTGTTTTCACCGAGTAACAAAATCAAAACTACTTTCTACTGGTAGTAAAATATGTATTGGATTGATGGCCAATAGGATTTTGCGTGACATAGCGTATAACATAACAATTTCTCTCGTGGAAGCGAGGTGAGTGTCAATATAATACTACATGTACTTACAGTATTATTGTTACTTCGACCACAACCTCGCTTCTGAGGCAGAAATCGTTGTGTCATGGAAAATATTTATGGTCATCAATCATATACATATTTTACTATGACTAGTAAGTAGTTTTGATTCTTTAACTTCCGTGAAGCGATCTGAACACAAGTAAGATATCGTTTCAGGCTTCCACAACGCTCGCTTCGCACTCACAAACATAACCCATTTTGCACGAACTGCGGGGTCCTGTGGAAATCTGTGCATGGCGAAACCATCGCCCGACCTCTAGGAGCAATTGACGACAACGCAACGATTTGGCATGTCTTGGTTGATGTCAAGAAATCATCAAAATGACGAGCTTGCTACACACTTTCTATACAACTAACTGAAAATCCTTCCTCATATGACGTCACTGCAGTGCTCTGGCGACAGAGTTACGTAACCTGTCTGTGGTTTCGTTGGTGGGTGAGAGTGAAGCAGGCGACTTTTTGGCAACTTTTAATCGCTCGGTACTTCATTAACCACAAGTTTTTTAAGAATGAATTTGGTGTTCCGCATAAGACTGACCACAAATCTTTCATATATAATTTTTTAAAGAGTACAAAAAAACAAAGTTTATTTGTTCTTTAACTCAGACTTATGATTGGTTAGCACTTGGGTTGCTGCCTACAATGGCACCCTCGTGGGATAAATGACTTTATCATCCAAAACTGTGTTCCACAGGAGATATTGCTTGTGTGAGGCCAAACGATATCCCCGAGGAGGGGTTTGACAGGGGTTTTTGCCCTGACAGTGCTATGAAGTCATGAACTTGATGATGTCACAATGCTATGATATCGCTGCACTGCAAGTCTAATGGTAGTACTGTGTTCAGAAATGTACATTTTGTCATTGAAAACTAATGAAGAGTGATTTTTGATGATAAATCTCACCCTCGTGTCTACTGATATCAGTTATATCAACACTTGTTGATAAAAGTAAAAATATCCTCGGGAAGCCTCGGATATTTGTAACTTTATCAACTCGTGTTGACATAATTGATATCAGTAGACACTTGGGTTAGATTCTCTATTACCTCCATTGTGATTTTTGTGCAGATATTTTAGAGGGTGAGAACAATTTTGATGGCTTTGCTGTATTACAGTAGAACTTAAGTCTATCTATAACTTTAACTAAAAAATCTACAGGAAACAGTACTTTGTTCAGTTTGGAATTAATTTGAAATATGTAATGTTGAAATGCACTAAATATAGTCTTATAACTTCTGATGTCATGTATCCAGTTATGCATAATTGCATAGGATATTCAAGAAGAAATACGGAGCATTGTGGATATATTTTTGCTCATAACTCACTTTTTTGTATCATAATGAATTTGATGTGCAGTAAATATGAAGCAAGCAAAATAAAATAGAATAAAATACATTATTTGACCTTTTGTTTCTGCAGAGGATTTCTCCATCTACTTTACCAGCTCTATTTGGGGAGATGATTGATTCAGCTACACTTGTCAACATTCTGGATGTCTTTAATGAATTCTATATTCCGTAAGTATTTGTAATTTATTCAGTGTATACCAGTAGTTTTCGAATTGAACTGATATTTGAGCATGCGCAAAAGTGTAAGATTACTTTTGAGACTGTGATACATTAGGTCTGGACAAAGCAGAAACATCAATTGCTTTCAGCCTAGAGGCAAATACAGCCACATCTTAGCTCGCCAAAAACAAAGCACGTTTTCCTGTGACAGATCTGGAAAATGACAATGACCCAATGACCTTGACCATTATAATTGTACATAGGCCTGCTATCAAGTCCATGGGTCAAAACCACTATAATTGCAAAAATAACTAAGTTTTATAAGGGTTCCATGCCTGAAGTGCATAGTCAAACCCACCAAGAACTTTCCGGATAATATGTAGACTCCTCAACACTGCAGCCTTCTGCATTACCCAGAGAGTCAGAAGGGCTGTGCTCTCGGTGAAGAATGATGAACCCCATTGTTCATCATTGCGGCATGAGAAGTGTGAGTTACCTATGTTTTTATTTGTGGTTAATGTTGTTTTGAATACCAAGGAGTACGAATACCGGGGTACCCGAAGGGGGTTGATTGGTGGTTAATTTTTTTTTTTAAATGTAGTCGTAATGGATAGCAATGACTTTATGGAAGGGGTCTGTCATAAACTCATCGAAGTCGGCTAAGGAGTAGGTGCGTTACGTTCTCTGGTCTTAGGGATATAATGGACTAAAGTATCCATTGTATTGTAACCGTTCGGTACCACACAAACCTAAACTATCGTACAGGGTCATGAATTGCCCTCGACTAATCACTTGACATAAGGCTGAGTAAATATCGAGTCCATCGACGTCCACCCCGATGTGACTGAACAGCCATTTCTCGAGGATGATGATGATAAAAAAAAAGGTTCGAATCTTTAATAAGGGGGTAATACCATGTCGTGAGGGACAATTTGTAATTCCTCTCTGACGAACCCTCTCGGCGGCCCATCTTTCAAGTAGTACAAGTTCGGTTCGCCGTCTTTGATGTCGATTAGGTCGACGTTGTACGTTTTCATTGACCATATCGGATTGGTGGCTCGTTTTCTGCTGTCTCCCTCGTATTCATTAGGCTGGTACAAGTACCTCACTCTGACCCGATCTGGTAATGTTTTTCCGGATCGACGTGCTGCTGCTGCTGATTCGGCGGCAACGGATTTCATTTGGATGGCTTCAACAGGTCTCTTGCCCACGAGTCTGGTGACTTCATTGTTAATGGCATCCACCACTCGCAGCAAGTGTACGACCCATTCCGTATTTCTGTTTTTGGGATGGATTAAATCCTGCGAGTACTGGTGCGAGAAAAGGCATTCGGCTAAGGTGCGATTGAATCTCTCGATGATGGCTTGGCTTCGATGGGCCACGCCGCTTCTCACCTGGACTTTGTGCTTGGCCAGCAGCTGCGACACGGCTCCCATCAACTCACTACCAGGATCGATTTGCAAGACGGCAGGCCAGGTCAAGCGACTGCGTTTGTAGATGCGTTCTAAGCCTTTGGCGACTTCGTCTAAATCTTTGGTTGTCAATGGTTCGGCTTCCTTGTAGCGACTGGCGACATCCACCATGGTCAGGGCATACTTGTAGGTTTTACGTCTTACCCTTTTGTGCGGTAGAAACAGGTCTCTCACGACATCGCCGTTCAGGGGTTTGTCGCGCACATGGCAGTGAGCGCTATTGTTGTGACCTCGCCAGTTGTCTGGGGTCATGCGCATGAGGATGATGGTGCGCAGCTTTTCCCTGATGATTTTCTCTTCGTTTTCTTACGTGAGAAATTTTTCGGCTGCGTCTGGACCTCGGTAGATCACGGGAGCGTTTGTTTCCCCATCGCATCAGACGACCTCATACCCGAACCCGCAAGCTTCGTGTTCCTGGGTTTTGTACGTGAACTTTTTTCCCGGGAATGTAGCGAGGGACATTTTTTATGAGGGCTTCGAAGTCGGCGTAGATGACGTAGGGCACGGGCATGTTTGTGGTTGATGAATTTGAAGATGTTGTCGTTAGGCATGTCCATTCTGATAGCGGTCTGTCACACACCTTGGCAATCTTCCCAGTGCAATTCCAGCAGGTCGGAGCCGTTCACAAGTGTTTTTCCCTGTCATGTTTCAAAAGGTCGTGCAACAGTCTGCTCAGACTTTTAATCGCCACGTAGTTATACTTGTCGCCTTTTTCGATGAGGAATAAATTGATTCTGCGCACATCATCGGACATGGAGCTGATTCGGTGCACGATGGTTTTGTCCCCTTAGTGACAGAACTCGTTGGCGGCTATATTGTTTTGCTTTTCGAATCTCATACAGTAGGAGATGGGTGTGAGGTGTCCTACACCCGTGAAGTCGAACCCAGATGCCTCCAGCGTGGGGTAGCTGGAACGCCTGCACGGATTACCTTTCGGTTCATGCGAGGCAGCTATGACCGCCACCACCGCGCAATAATTATTATTATCATCATCCCCTTTGGTTTCGGGGTTGAGGATGGCGCGTTATCTCTGAAATGCTTTGGCACCGGGAGGTACGATCCACCTTTGAACGGTTTGACTTGGCTGTGTCCAGATAGACTGATTCGATCCTGTCCACGACCCAACCGGAATCCCTGTGCGAGAAACATTCCAGGGATTCTCGTATTTCTTGCAACGAGGTGTCGATGGACTCAGCTTGGGTGGCGCCGTCCGTCTACTGTTTGTCCAGAGACATTTTCTCTGACATTTGAAATTTGAGGCTTCCCAGGTCGTTCAGTTCCTCGTTGACTTTGTCGGCGATCAGCGGTTTGATGTCGTAGACGTCCATGGGTTTGCTGACGGTCATCCGCCAGCCTCTAAGATACTTACCTACCGCGTGCTTCGTCGGCACGGACTGTAGTTCGACGGGTTTGTGTTCCTCTAGCAGTTCGATCAGCTCGGCTTTCCTCAGGCTGGAATAACCTCTCAACCCACGGTCCTTCACATGGAGTTTGAGCTCTTTGACCGTGGGAGAAGGCTTGACGTCTTGAATGTCGAGTAATCTCAAAAGCTGGTCTTTCTTCCATCGGGAGTAACGGACCACGCCACATTCTTTTGCCATCGTTTTCAATGCTCGAAGGGTAATCATTGTCGTTATATCAATGTGTGAAAACTTTTTCCAAAATAAATAATGATATTCATTTGCGAAATCATATCTCTTATTGATTTTTGTCTTCTTTTTTTTTAATTTTTTTTTATTCTGAGTAGTCGGTTACGTTTGTTGAGATAATCTCTTTTTGTCAAGTAGATGAGATGACCTCGGACCACGTCCACTCCGTGGGCTTTGCAACGACGGTAATGACGATAATTCGGGGGAAGGTGTGTAATACTGAGATAGGGTGGGTTCGTCGCCGAGAGGTTCGAGCCGTTTGCCGGTGAGCAGGTAGTATTCTTGCATGGCGTCGTCGACGTTCTTGAACGTTCGAACGGCTTGGATTTCGCGTACACGGCTTGTGCTGCCTGCAGTTGCTCCACGGCCAAATTGTGACGTTTCCGTTCAGCTTCGATTTCGTCTGCGTTCTACGTTCGTAATTTGGAAAAAAGGTAATTGCTGCCGGAAAATGCCAGGGCATTGACTAATGCTCACCGACCATCATCACGATCGTGGCCATCTCTTTATGTATTTATTATGTATTTATCGCCAGTCCCAAGTCGAACACGAGCACGAGCATGCCCACGTCTTGCAGGTTGAAATCGAGTTTGGGTGCCGGTTGTCTGGTGATCATTTTGCTCAGTCAGTCCGCTGATCATGGCGTCGTGATACACGTCGTTGACGAATGTTTTTCCATCAGGGGTCAACATCATTGTATATAGGATAAAAAATAATTTTGTAAAAAAAATTATAACATGAGTATTTACTTCTAATTGTGGTGCTGCCGGTGCCGCTGCCGCTGCCGGTTTGAATTTGTACAGCAATGCGGTGATGACGGTGATGCATGCCGCCGCTATGGCGTACTGGGTCCATTGACAAATATGTTTTTTCTGCTTTTTAGCTTACCAGCCTTTGCCACCGGCGGCTACTTTTTGGGGATTCTTTTTTCTGGTTACGGTATTAATCACCGGTTGTGATTGCTGATCCCCCTCCGTCGGTTGTTTTTGTTGTTCTGGAAAAGCCTCCTCCGTCGTTGTCGCCGATGGCATCTTGTATATTATTGTTATTATTATTATTTTTCTTTAAATCAGCAATGCTTTGCCCTGATGATCGCCGCGGTCAGAGGAGCCAGTAGCATACTGTACCGGTGGAACATTTCGCAGCTGACGGAGCGCAAAGGTAGATGAACAGATCTTTCTCAAGAACTTCACACATGTACAGGCGACGTTCCGGTGGAATGGGAAGGAAGTATGACGCGATGCCGACTTGGATTTGCGTCATGGCCGATCCTATGGTTTTCGTCATTTCAGCGCCGATTTCTTCAACGGGCATTATGTGAATTTTGCAGGGAGTGAGGTCCCCACCGAAGTATTGTTTGGCTTTGCTGCCGATCGCCAGTGCCACCAGTCTCTCCCGCTCGTTGTCATTTTTAGTATCTTCGTTTATCATTTGCTCGAGCAGTTCGTTGCACTCCATCTTATAATGTAGCAAACGTTTTATAAATCTAATAAAATAAAATCCAATGCACACGAAACACAGTGATAGGAAAGTCAAGTTATATGCAACGAAAATTTCGAACAAGTGAAAATTTGCTTAAGTTATGCTTAATTTTGCTACTATTTTGCTTAAGCTAGCGAATTTAAAGCGCTACGGGTTGGTCAATTTTCAATAGGAGTTTGGCGTGTTTCATTTCGGAGAGCTGTTTTTTCACGCAGTCGCGTTCTTGTTTGCTCGGAATTACGTCGTTTTCTCGCAAGCATTCCTTGAATGAGTCCCTGTCATTGCAGTGAAACAGGGCGACCCATCGCGTCTGCTCACGCAGGTCTTTGAGCACCGAGTTAAATATTTGCATCAGCACCCAAACATGTGCCGGCCTGAGAAGGCCAGGTACGACAGCATGTCTTGT